ATTATCGGAACCACCCTGTAACTGCTGCTCTTGTTTCCTACAGGACTCAGAGAGAACTTCTATGACCCACTCTCTCCAAAACAAAAACAAGAATGAAAGCCCGAACAAACAACAACACGAAACCGAACTCCTCATTATTCTTCTTCCAGCACTTAGTATCCTTTACTTGCTACCTTCAACCACAAGGTACATGTTTATCATCTGTCTTTCAATGTCCCCTCCAGCAGGGCAGGCATTTTAGCATGTGTTGTTGAGTCCCCAGGCACATGGAACTGGTAATTGGTATGTCATAAGTGCCCCTAAATATGAATGCACATGGTAAATGAATTTAAATGGTTATCAAACAAAGGGTCCTCAACTTATTTCTGCTGCTCCGTTCTCAAAGGTAACTAACTATAGAGAATAAATTATTTGTTGTTGTTTTTATTTATTTACTTCTATTTCATGTGCATGAGTGTTTGCCTGTATGTACACAGGTACATAGGTACATATGTATGTATGTGTGTATGCATATGTACATACATGCTTGGTGCCCAAGGAGCCAGAAGAGGGCACTAGATCCTCTAGGAGTGGAGTGACAGATGACTCTGGGCCACCATGTGGATGCTGGGAAATGAATCTGGGCTTCCCTTTGTTGTTGCTTGGAAACTCTTTCTGTCCTCACAGAAGTTTCTGTGTACATATGAGAATAATGAGAACAGCATACATGAGGCCCAGTGCAGCCCCCCCCACCCCACCCCGCGCGCCCCAGTTAATCATTTGCACGGAGACCTTTCAGTTGGTAGATACTGGTTTACCTCTGTTTTACAGATGGCTACATGATATCCCATGGCTTAATATTGAAGGAAAAGTAAGTTGTTCTCCTTGTTTGAAAATGGAAAGGCTCAGGCTGGGAACAGGTCTCAGTTTTCCAGCACTCGTGTAAAGAGCTGTTTATGGCTACACATTCCTGCAATCCTAGCACTGGGGGGCAGAGACAGGATTCCAAGGGCACTCTGGCCAGCCTAGCTGAAACAGCAAGCTTCAGGGAAATAGTCTGTCTTAGGTCAATAGGCAGGGAGAGAGAGGGAGAGGGGAGGGAGAAGAAGGAGGGAGGGAGGGAGAGGGAGGGGGAAAGAGAGAAAGAGGGGAGGGAGGGAAGGGAGAGGAGAGACATAAAAGGAGGGGAGGGGAGGGAGATGAGAAGGCAAGGGAAAGGGGAAGGGAAGAAAGTCCCCTGGCCTCCATGTTTGCAGGAGAGCATGAGCAACCACATTCCTTCATCCTCCCCCCTTTCCCCACAACAAAACCCCCAAACTAAACATCCCCAACCAAACACAAATGGAAACCCAAAATAAACAAATCAAGAACATCAGAAGGCTAGAGACAATGAGGTATCTCTGGGCCCGCACCTTCTTACTACTGGGTGAGCCTCTGTGGCCACCCGACCAGACAGTGCTGGCACACCAGAGGCTTTTATTTCAGTTTTCTGTTGTTGTGTGTGGGTGCACATGCTTGCGTGGAGGCCAGATGTCAACCTTGTTCTTCAGGTTGCTTATTGAGACAGGATCTCTCCGGGGGTCCTGGGGCTAGGCTGGCTAACCTCAGTAAGCCTCACTGACCTGCCTGTCTCCGCCTCCCGATGCGGGCTTTTATTGGATGCTGGGTTCTCACTCTTGCATGAAAAACACTTTTCCAACTGAGTGACCTCCCATCCGTTTTGTGCTCTTTGTGACAGGGTCTCCCTAGCTCAGGTTGGCCTTGACTTTGTGATCCTTCCGGCCTCTGTCTTCTGGTTCCCAGGTGTTTGCCAACACTCCCATTGTATTCCAGGTGTCTGGAAGGTGATTTTGGTTTGTTAGTTTGTTGCTTGTTTGTCTTGCAGAGACTCACAGTGCAGTCTCAGATGACTTCCAAGCCTTGGAAGTGCTGGGATAACAGGCACGAGCCTCCTCGCTGGGCTTTTGACAGGTACTTTTCTGGTGACATCTAAGTGACTTTTCTTTGCAAGACTGAGTATTGGAGTGGAAGCATTGGGTATATCTTAGGAGCCCTCCGGATGACGTATTGGCCACTGGCGGTGGTCTGGGGTTACTTACATCTCTGTCCACTGCCAGGAGCCACTCTCACTATCAGACAATGGAAGGAAGTATAAGGAGGCTGTGCAGATGCTAACTCACCTCAGCCCCTTCCTCTAATTATAGCTGCCCCTCAGCCCTTTCCCTGTAGCCTTTTAGGGACTCAGCTGCTCTCTACCTGGGTCTAAAAGCAGAGGTGCAAATCCTGGTTTCCTACAACTGTTGACTTTGGAAATCAGGAAACTCAACCTGGTGCGGTGGTGGCAGGGACTGTTGTCATCCCAGCACATGGGAGGTGGAGAAAGGAAATCAAGAGTTCAAGACCAGCCTCAACTACATAGTGAATTTGAGGTCAGTCCGGAGGAGAAACATTCCTAAGATGGAACTTCTGTGGGGCGGGGTCTGGGGAGAAGGGTGTTTAGGGTGTTATACTCAAGGATGAGGCAGAAAGGTTTTATGCCCACAGCTGTAGTTCAAACAACTTCACCTGCCTGCAACCCAGTGACTAACATTAATGTTGTTTTGTGTTTTAATTGCTAAGAGGAAAACGAAGCTGCCTGAAACGGTCTGGTAGTCCTGGTTCCCTTTCGGGAAATACTGACCAAATGTAACAAAAGACTTACCTCAAAATCCTAACAACAAAGTTGCTGGCTGTGTAACTTTGAGGACCTGAGTTTGATACCTGGCTCCTGCCTGAAGACCTAGGGCATAGTGGTGGTGTATGTCTGTAATCTTAGCATCAGACACAGGAGGGCTCTGTCGTTTACTGGCCAGTCAATTCAGTTGAATGGGTGAATGTCTGGTTTAATGAAAGACCCTGCTTCATAAGAGGGACGGGTAAGATTGCTCAGCAAGTGAAGATGTTTGCCTTGAAGCCTGGAGATTAGAGGTCAGTTCTCAGTGTCCACACAGTGGAGGGAGGAACTGACTCCCACAAGATCTCCTTTGAATAACTCATGTGTCATGGTAAACACACACACACACACACACACACACACACACAGCCCATCTCTTGGTTATTTTTTCAAGTAAACCCCACTTGCTCCAGCCTTTCTCTAGCTCAGGAAACCCTAACACTTTGGTTTCATAATTTCTTTATATACTTGAAATCACAGAGGACCTCAGTGAGTTTTGACTTATGTGAGTTTGTTTATGCTGAATTAGATGTTATTGCCTAAATTAAAACTAAGAAAATTTAAAAAGCGCTAGTTCACTTATAAAGAATAACAAACCCACAACAGGTAAACATAAATCATTCTTTTTAATGAGATATAGCCAAACTTTCTAAACAAGAACAAAGGATGATGGGCAAGAGCACACTGTTCTTTTATAATCTCGAAAATTTTGTTCATATCAAGCACGACAGGGCTCAGCTGCATTCTCCTTTTTGCATGCAGTCCGCTGTGAGGGTGTGTCATGCGACTGTTGTGGAACTCCACTGTGCATGTGTGAGAGACCAACAAGGGACGAGACTGGAGGAGCTTTGACCTTGTGGGTCCCCGGAAGGAGCCTTGATGACCCTGTGTCTCGTGGACCTATTTAGGCTTCACTTAAGATCTACTGTGCTGGCGTGGTCTAAGGGTTTTGATGGTGATGGTGATGCTTTCTGGAGGTTCAGGTGGCATTGGTCGCTCCCTTCTGTATTCTCGCTGTTAATGTTGTTAGCCTGTGAGCGTCTCGTAGTCTCAGGAGCTCATATGGCATCTGTGTCTGTAGCATGCAGAAGGTGTACTTATCATCATCATTTTTTTTTTTTTTCCTGAGACAGGGTTTCTCTGTATTGTTTTGGAGGCTGTCCCGGAACTCTCTCTGGAGATCAGGCTGGCCTCGAACTCACAGAGATCTGCCTGCCTCTGCCTCTGCCTCCCAAGTGCTGGGACTAAAGGCGTGCACCACCAAATGCCCGGTTTATTATCATCATTTTTAAAACAGGGTTTCACTGTGCTGCCAGCATGGCTATGAGTACAGTGATTCTCTTACCTAGGTCTCCTGAGTATCTGCTACTACAGGTGTGTGTCTGTTTGTGTGTGTGTGTGTGTGTGTGTGTGTGTGTGTGTGTGTGTGTGCCCACTGTTAACAAACCTATCTCATCACCACCATTATTATTTTTTATGTGTTTGATTTGTCTGCGTGTTTGTATGGGCACCTTGTGCCTAGGGTCCTTCGAGGCCAGAATGTGCTAGATCTCCCAGAACTGGGTTGTAGTCAGTTGTGAGCCATCATGTGGTTGCTGGGAACTGAACCCAGGTCCTCTGCAGGAGCACAAAGTGCTCTTAACCGCTCAGCCATCTCTCCAGCCCCAGGCTTTCCTTTTGCCTCAGCCTCCCTAGTGTTGGGACTGTAAGCATGAGCTACCATGCCAAGCCTTGAATCTATCTTTTCACTGAGATTTTAACTTTAATTATAAAAGCAATGTAAGCACATTGTGGCTATATGATGGAAAATAGAGACAGCAAAGTAATACTCTGAACCTCTTAAATACTGCTTCTTGAATGTATTACACCAGTCTTTTATAAAATGTATCCTGCATGCCCAGTCTGTCTCTGCATGTAGCTCTTTTGAGATAAACTCACTATGTAGCTGGAGGCGACCTTGACTTGTCTCTAACCCTCCTGTCTCCACCCGGAGTGTTGTTATTTGCCTGAGCCACCATGCCTGGTTTATTTGGTGTTGGGAAGGAATTCTAAAGCTTCATGCATGCTAGGCAAAGCCCTCTTCCAACCTAGCCACATGCTTAGCCTTCAAAGGCAGTATTAGCTTTCTATTATTCCATTGTATTTGTAAATGACCACCTCCAGCAATGGGTGAGTTTGTCCATTTTGACAAGTGACCAGTGCAGTGTCCACTATGTGGCTAAGCACAATTCACCTGTTAAACAGCCAACACTGGGATGTGCCTACTTTTTTTTTTAATTAATTGTGTGCATATATGAGGGTTGTGCACATGAGTGATTATGGAGCTGGAGACATTGGCAGTTGTGATCTGCCCAGTGTGGGCGCTGGGAACGGGACTGGTGTCCTCCGAAAGAGCAGTATGTGGCTTCTAACTGTTGGGCTATCTCCCCAGCCTTTGCCGTGCACTTTTTTTTGTTGTAACAAACCCAGTGATCAGCAAAGAATATCTTCATGCTCCAAGCACTTCCCCACTTGGGGTTGTGTCCTTAGAACAGATTCTCAGAAATAAGATTCCCAGGTCAAAAGACGTAGATATTTTTATGGCTTTTAATACATACCGTGAAATTGCTTTTTGAAAGGGTTATACTAATTTACAACGCCGCCACCAGCGTTTCCAGAGGTAACACAGGTGCTGTTAAGAATGCTAATCGATAAAATACTGTATCCTAGTTGTTAAAATTTCGCCTTTTTTGAGGTTCATAAAATTAAAGTTTGTTGAAGAATGAGTACACAATACAAAACATTCTTCTGGGACATCTTTATTTTTGGAACAACCTAAGCCAATTCTCCGCGGCGAACACCAGAAAAGGAACACATGTTGTTAGGGTTGGCACAGACTGGCTTTGACGATCAATCCTAACGCCAAAACACTCGACCGACATTCCAGTGCTTCTGCTAGCAGCAAACGGTGGGGAAAAGATGTTGGGGAATCAGACAGGGCAGGTTTACAGAGAAATCTGGAGCTCGGCTGCTTTTCATTAAACTACGTTCCCTTGGGTGCACGTGCAGGATTCCTGCAGTTTCCCCTCCCTCTTTTTTCCTGTCCATGTGCAGGGATTCCTGCACTCTGCCCTTTCCCTCCCGCCTTCCATCCTTTGCTCATCCTTTTCTGGCCACGTGCAGAACCCCCGAATTTCCGTGGAGAAGGCGCAGCGGCACTTTGCGGCTCTCCTGGCCCGGGGGGCGGGGGTTTGAGTCTGCGGGGCTTGCGAATCCTCCCGGTGTGGCCCGACTTCCAGGAGAGCGGCGCGGAGCTGCGACCGGCATCGGGCTGAAGTGCGGGAGCCCGGGAGGTCGAGCGTTCCGAGCCCCGGATCCGCGGCTGCAGCTTGGGACAGGCACCTATGACTCATCGGCTCCGCCGGTCACATGGACAACGTGACCAAAATAAAGTTTCAGTATTTTAAGCCGCTGGAAAAGGGGAC